AGAGATATCCCTAATTTTAAGTTGGTAGACTAGACGGAATGCATCTATTCAACAGTACCTCCGCCAACTCTCGTCTGACCCACGGCCGCAAAATGGAGAGCACGTTTTAGCGATAAGAGGACAAGAACCATAAACCCTCGGATTCAGTCTGGACACTAACTATTTGCCACGCCCGGCCCAACGAATAGAATGGAGAGTAGAATATTGTTCTGTTGCAAAACGCCGAATCTGGCGAAACAGTTAAGGAATACTGCAATAAACATATATAAACACATGCATCTTACTTACTCCTCATCCATTGCTATTTTAGATCCTTTTGATTTGAAATACGTAATGGATTTCAATGATAATTTTGAAATTTAATGAATACTATGAATTTTGCAAAGTTTTTTCTATAAGAATTCATATGTTTCAAACTATCATACACACACACACACACACACACACACAAAGAGACTGAAACACAAAAAGTGTGGTCTTTGAAATTGCCGGGTGAAACAACAAACAAATACACTATCATAATATCCCCCAGTGGCTCAGCGATAAGACTGGGAGCTTATAATGCTAAAAATCGGGTTTCAATACGCGCTGTAGACAGAGCACAGGTAGCCCATTGTGTAGCTTTGGCTTAACAACAAACAAACAATCAAAAACATTCTCATAAATTCGATGTTTCTGGTGTTGTGTGCGTTTGTTTTGTTATAGCAAAGCCACACCGGATATCCGCTGTGTCCATCAAGGGGAATCGAACCCCTGATTGTAGCATTGCAAATCCGAATACGTACCGCTATCCCACCGGGGTCTTATGGTGCTGCAATATTAAAAGCTTATATGTTTTAGTTACAGTGCAAAGCTGCAAAATGGGCTATTAAGCTTTGCCCGCTGCAGGGATCGAATCATGCATTTTAGCGTTATAAACCTTCAAGCTTACCGTTGAACCATCTAGGGGTCAATAAGTATACACAAAATGAAATCGCAACAATAATGCATTATATGTGATTATACATTTATTCTAACTCAATAGACGTTTCTCTCAAACTAAAACCATACCGTGTGGAATTATGTCTTATTTCTTCCTCTATTCATCGCATTCTATCGTAAAATCGGATATTACATATATATTTATATACATGATCGCGATATAAAAAAAGCAGTAATGTGGCATTTAACCTTTCTGCCTTTGATATAGTATATGCTAAACCTTTAAGTTTTCCTTTAGAAAAACAAAAAAAGAAGATCGATAACAATGATCCCATGCATTTCAGCCTCCCTGTATTTCACAATGAACGTTATCCACTCTTAAAGATTTCTCTTGAGATGTTTGAACCACCTGACTCTAATGCCTGGAGTTAGATTCAAGAAAGAAACAACTCAAATGTTTTCAGACGCTTTTAGAAAACTATCTATCTGTATTAGTTTATGCTTCACAACTAAGAACTGAAAGGGAAAGGAAGCACTAGAAAATTACATTTTTGACAAATTCTTATTCTTAACAATATTACAGATGTTGATTTTAAACTTGATTCTTCTTTCCATGAAACGTGTCAGTATCAAGAGAAAAATGTGCTAGACTTCGCGAAACAGACTTTTACGAGAAAGTCAACATCTTACTTTTTCCAACGGAAAACCGAGATTTGTGGAAAAAATAATAATATTTTAAATCGTTAACTATATTTACTTTTCATTGATATTTACGAACTCATAAGTAAAGATAGGCAAATAGAAGCTTGGAATATTTGCTGATCTTATTTCAATATTCTGCTAACTGACGTTTCTTACGTTTATTATAGTTAAGCTGTTTTAATAACGTTTTAAGTCAATAGAAAAACAACGGATTCAATTTATTAGACAAGATTAAACGTTTCAAGAATGTGCCTTATCGATTTTTCTTCCCTTTCTCTCCACTCTAGTTCATAATAATAACCAGATTTCTTAAAGTTATTTACTTTGAAAATTGATTATATTTACTTGTTTTAGAGCAAAGCCACATTGAGTTATCTGCTGTGTCCACCGTGGGGAATCGAACACTGGATTTTAACGTTGTATGTCCATAAACTTAGTTATCCCAGGGATTTTGAAATTGATGTTGCGTAAAACACGCACTTCACAACTTAACCCTGTATTGCACATTGTAACGTAAAGGTAACAAAACTATAGTTTTTGCTTAATACACATATACAAATGCTTCAATCCTGTAGCTGAATGTTCTTACTTCTAGGTAACGTACCCATTTATAACTTACCAAAATATATTTTATAAAAACATATGTTTTGTGAAATATAGACCTATTTAAGTAAGAAATTAAAAAAAAAGCATTTTTCACTGAATTTTCATAATGCCTGTAATAAAGGATTGATATAATACATTACATTTTATCATTTTGCTTAGTATACCGTTTCTTACTCTCTTGTAATGCGCCTGACTCACTTTCAGTTATTTTGAGACACAGACGGTGCGCAATTCATAAGACTCGCATTTTTCAGATTTTTTGGGGGAAAACTTCCTAAGTTTTATCATGTTGGCGCCGGAAAATGTATCCACGATGACACATCTTCAATATAAATTAAAACAATTAAAAATTGACCAAAAATAAAAGGCTATTAACACGAAGTTACTCTAATAACTTATCAATCTGAACTAGATATTTGAAATATATTTATTAACAAAATCTTTAAAATCAGGATAACGAGTAGTAATCATTTCTGAAAAAAAAAATACAATTAAGTAAATATATATTTATTTGTCTGTTCATTGTAGACGCTAGTGGTCAAACTTACTTTCAGTGAAGATCAATGTCAACATTAGCTGCTCAAACTATATTCACCAAACTAAATCAACTTAGAGGTCTCGATCCAATTCCTGAACTTAGCCGTACTGACCATTCCATCGTGAGTCTTATCCAACTACATGATCCTTAATGGTCACCCTGGGAGTTTTTTTTTAGTTTTTTATTCGTATCCACATGCGTCTCATCTACACTGACGCCACTGCCCACTGCAGTGGATTGCAGACGACTAAATTAACTTTTCATGGCATGGGACCTTCAGTAATTTCACAAGTAGAGTATATAAGATCTTTCTTTATACATATGTAGTTGTGGTAGGGTAGTTATCAAGCTTTAATTTTCTGTAACAAAAAGAATGTACGAGCAACACGACTATAGAACAACAAAATTTGTTGAGATATGTTTCTGATGGTTTATAATTAGATACTTATTAGAAAGTTTTAAAACTCGTAACACCATATATCTAAGAAAAAAGTCAAAATACAGTCATTAAGCAAGCAACTTGGAAGGGTAAAGCAAATAATTTACGCATATTTTATATTTTAAAAACCTTTGCTCTCAGCGAGCGAAGTTCTTTGTAAAAAATATAAATAAAAAATGTTGACTACTACGCTTGCCGAAAGAAACAAATTATTTTCAACACAAATCAAGCTAACTGAATAATACGTTCTCCAATAATGACAACGCACACCAAATGCGTTGACTATATATATATATATATTGTTTGTTTGTTTTGAATTTCGCGCAAAGCTACATGAGGGCTATCTGCGCTCCTTCCCTCTAGTCTTACACTGCTAAATTAGGGACGGCTCCAGCTAGTCATCACCACCCACCGACAACTCTTGGGCTACTCTTTTACCAACGAATTGACCGTCACATTATAACGCCCCCACGGCTGAAAGTTTGGTGTAAAGGGGATTCGAACCCGCGACCCGCAGATTGCGAGTCAAGCGCCCTAACCACCTGGCCATGCCGGGCCGTACAAGGAAAGCTGTTGAATGCTGTGTAATAATATTTTATTTTTGGAGTTTCGATAGTTATTATACTATTAGCCCTGAGGAAACGTTAGCTGGAATAAAAAGTTTTTATTTATTAATATCTGCAAAATGAAGGTCGTTTTGTTTTCAAACTTTATTGTCAAATTATTTCAACAAGTGTTTATTATTGGTGATGAATGATATAAACAAAACTTTTTTTTTTATTGGCTGTCTTTATCAGGATATTAAGATTGTTGAGAAATAACACACTGTTACATTTATTTTGTATTATTAACCAATCGTTCACTCGTTAACGGACAACACTACTTATTTTAGGGCATAAAAGAGGGGGGAATTTCTGAATAACCTAAATTGTTACGTATTCTTATAAAAAGAACTTAGCTTTTTACACATTTAAATTTATGTCACAAAAAAAACAGTTTTCTGTCTGTAGTTATTTTTATTTATTTATTTTTATTATTATTAGACAGTCGAATGTGAACTTTGCCACTGAATCTAAGCAAGGACTTTGCTTGCTAAAAGTCCTTTATTTGCCAATAGGGGGCAACGTTTACCCTGTATTAGATGCTGATCTATTACTATTTCATTTATCGTAACTGCCGGAGAAAGCACAAACACCCTTCAGTGAAATCCTATTGGAAGTTAAATGTTACAGATACTTTGACGTCAAAAGCTTTCAACCAATGAACCTCTAGTATACCCATATTTGTGCAGACCGACAAGTTTGTAATGATATACACAAATGTGAAACACAAAAAAAAAATACAGACATAAAACATATTTTTATTTACAAAACATCACCATTTGGTCCTAATGCATTGGGGTATAATCTCTTTTTCAATAAAATATCTTAACCGAGTACTTCTACATCCTTCCTGATACAAATACTGGAGTTTTCAATTTCCACGTCAATTCATTATTAACTAACCACGAAGAAAAAACTGAAAATTAAAAGCTGTATGCGTTAAAACCATAATTTTGCAAGAAATATATCTAAAGCTTTGGGCACTATAACAAGGTTGAAATCAATGAAAGGAATAACAGCAATATAACGTACGTTCTAAGCTGTAATTCTGTTTGCACTCAGCGAGAGTGCGAATACTAGAACATGTTATTAGCTTGTCCGAATATTTAGCATCTTCCAAACATTGTGCTCGGTGCTTTTGCATTCTGTAAAATATCATGTTCATAAGTAAGAACACAGGACACGACCGAGAGAGCGTCTGGTAGCACGCCTAACGTCCTGCTGGCCTGCCAATCAACTTGCAGTGGGCTGACCTCTGGTCGACGTGGCATCCGTGACCACTCCTCTGCGGCCATGACGCGATCGGGCAGGCGCGGCAAAAAGCTGTGTTGCAAAACGCTCTGTTTGGACGATTGTCGCACCACACGACTCTGTTGACGAATCCACGCATCACGAATTACCACAGCTCAAGAAATTTCTCGTTCTACGACGCAAGAGTAACTCGGCGACCGCTGTGCCACGAGGCGAAGGTTTTTCTCTGTACACGAAAGCAGAAGCATTCAGGGGCTTAGTTAGCAAGTTGTTTCTGCTGTGCGACTTTGGCCTCTGGTTCTTACTCTACCACAATCATCACTGGATCCGGTGTACTTGCCCGTCTTTGATCAGCTCTCGCGCTGTGAAATTTATTCATGAAGATCGAGAAAACTAACTCTAAAGACTGAAGGGTGAAACTCCTATTCTAAAGTTCATTTGTTACCATCAGAATTGTTTTGTGATTTCGTTTGCGTGGATTGAAACTATTATCATGTTCGAAAAACCACTTCGTTTGGCCCCTGTACCATAGGCTCCACATAGCTGAGCATGGGATGTCCTTGCCAGAAGTTCGAAAGAGAATTTTAAACTTTTAATTCATAGATTTTAATTGAACACTTTTAAAATTTCCTGTTTTAACTTCTAATAATATGTTAACAGAAATTGATACATTTTGAGAGCAACATAAAGACAAACACGCTCACAGATCTTTTACGTTCTTAGAGGTTAAAATAAACCGCAGATGTAAAAAGACTCACCCGGAAAGAGTTGTACAGAGTCGAAATTTTGAAAATCGAAAGAAAGTCATGGTATAAGCACGAGTCGAGCGCCCAAACGAGAGAAGGAAGTCCTAGTGACCAGTGCGTGCACCTAGCACCCCTGTCCTCGCGTGATCAATTACCGACTTTCATCGGCCGTGTGCACATGTCTCTACCTCTTAGAGAGTCGCTCCCTATAGTTTGGTCAGAGACGCCATAAACTATTTTTTAGCGCCACATTCCGACGGCTACTTTTTAATATGCAAATGAGGTCAGCCTATCAGTGACTCAAGTGACAGAGCCAACACCAGAGCCGGGATAGACTACCCAGCATGCAGTAGTGTCCGCCATATTTGTTGTTCTTGGTGTCCATGTAGATTTTGCACGTCTTTGTTGACGTCAAAAGTCCGATGAGATGTCGCGGAGAAAACAAGAGAACCCGCAACCCAGGAAGAGGGTTGTTTCAGGTAGGTTCGATTTTTCTCTACTAAACTGCTGTAGAAGTCGGTAGCACTAACACTGCGGTTTACGGCGTTGAATACACGGCTCACCAATCTATATTAAAATAGCTTTTCTTTGATTTGTTTATGTATGAATCACAATAGTGAGCAAATGGTAAGGTGAAAAAAAGCCATATATCAACCTTCGCTAGGTATCAGAATATTGACGTTTAAATAAAGCGGAAGTGGTAAACAGTCCGTAGAATATATACATATAATTTACTAACTTGTCTCCTAGCGAAAAATCGTATTTAGTTAAAACTATTCTGACGATCTTATTCACTACTTACACATATTATTATTGTTTTTGTTGTTGTTTTTTCAAAATAGATTAAAGCAAATAATTTCATTTCATGTTCGTGCGCGTGCCAGAAGGACGCCTTAACGCAAGAGAAATGTGTTCTCAAACTTGCCGTTTAGCATGTGCATTTAGAAATACAGTAATATCGTCTACCACGTTGAGCGACCGAGACAGTCAACCATGCAGACAAACCGCGATGACTCGCGCGGTATGGAATTTGTAGAGCTCCATCTGGGAGACGGAAGCAAAACACAACTTTTAATAAATACTTTTATTTTTGAACTTATTATTTTGCAAACTGTTGACTTGGTTAGATTCACGAACGTTCAGAATATCTCTGACCAAACTTACTTAATACAGTACGTGTTTACACCGCCCGATTTTAATGAATATATGAGAACATTTACGGGTGCAACGCATTCAATTCAACGATCAGAAACAAATTGATGTAGTGTTAACAATCACCCATTAATAATCATTAACTAGAAGACTTGTTTTTTATTGTTGATGTTTTTCATAGTGATTTATTTCAATATTAATCAGTAGCTTACAGGAGGGTAAGTTCCTGTTACAATCTGAAAGTAAACACACGTAAGCATACATGTATGAAAATAATACAATATAATTGGAAATAAACAGTTCTGATATTCATAATATTTTATTATATTATTTCAAATCTAAAAGAGGGCATTGCTTCTAATTTTGGTTGAAAGAGATTTAAAGTCAATTTTGCGTTGGTGAATAGATGTAATAAACATCGTTAAAACATCACACTTGTTCTTTCTCATTAACCTTTACATTAGATGGTTGATTTTATTGAAGTGATCGTAAACCGAATACATGATCAAAAATGTAATTTTGGCTGTCACCGTGAACAACGACAGACGTGATAGTTAAATTACGCGCACCTATCATTCAGTAAATCTCGTAATTATGTATGTATTTATGTATGTTACGTCAATTAATGAGATCACGACGATAATTGATTTTTCTTCCCGCAAAAGACTTATTTTTGTTTCTTGTGTTTTAGTGATAGTTTGGATGTTTTCTTAACAAATACTTTTTCTTATACCGTTTTGATATCTTTTCAAATAACGTTATTAACCTGTGTTGTATTAAGTAGATGTTATATAAAGATATCTGGAGTATTATCTTTATGTCCATCATTATTCGAACTTGCTAACTTGAGTCGTTCTGGATACAATACATCTATTTTCAAACTGTAAAGTACATGTTAAAGAGCCTAGCGAATTTACTTCCTTCTCCAGTGGTGTCTAGATGGCCTGAGTAGAAACGAAACTTGACATTTAGAGCTATCTCTCTGTTTATTACTGTTACCCAAGAACGATTAAACCTAATGTCATTAAACTTTGCATTCTGAATTATCCTTGAAATCTCGCAATAGTTGTATGCTTTGAGGCTTAAATGATTATATACTAAAGTCATTATGTGATAATTAGCTAATTACGAGTAAATTAGATAATGTTGGCCCCTATCTTTCATATTATTACTAAAAATATAATTTGGGGCATGCATAAGTCAACCGTTAATTTTTGACCATCAAGTATGAGTCAGCATCATATTCGTGTAGTCCACGTTTAGAGAGAAGACTTTATGATTATTTGTAAATAATTCATAAACAAAACTTTTTGTATCTATACTGTAATTACATGAAATATATGCATGAATGGACGTTTCTTTGTCCAAAACTAGAGAAAAAAGCTTGAGTCCTGACGTGAAAATTTTTCATAATCTCGTAACGTGAGAGTGTATTTCAGCATATAATGAATTTTCATGATAATGATAAGTATGTTTATTTTATATTTCAGGTATTTGTAATTATGACGCTTGAAGCCTAAGAAATAGATCCACAAATATAATTATGTTAGATTATTCGTTAGCATGCTTATATATATTGTCATAGATGTGCATATATTCATATATAAATTAGAATTTTAGATAAAAAAAAAATCACCTTGCGGCTTGTTTCTGGCTTGAATGTTGTTTGTTATTAAGCACAAAGGGCTATTTGTGCTCTGCCCACCACGGGTATCGAAACCCGGTTTCTAGCGTTGTACGTCCGCAGACATGCCGCTGTGTCACTGGGGGGCGTTTCTGGCTTGAAAAAAAAGGGCGTTTGCTCGAAACGTCGCCAAGTTAATACATTTTTACCATAGTTTTTAAATGTGATTTTTGTCTCTAAAAGTCTAATTTATTTTATATTTTATCATCTTCGCATTTTTCTACTTATATATATATAGGTTTACCTTTCTGGTAGAAAAAAAAAATCGTGTCTGTATTATATAACTTAACGTTAAATGTTTAAGTAAACAAGACGTCTTTATACTTAACTTTCACTTAATTAATATATATATTAATTTGTTTATTTGTATATTTATTTGTATACATTTCATCCACTTACTTATGCAGCACGTGCTGTGTTTTTCCCTGCTGTAATTACACACCATATGCTATCATAACTTTTTATTTTCATCTTGTGATGTTACACGATAAATCCCTAATTCAATTATATAGCAAAGTTTAGGGACTAACCCAAAAGTTACCTGTCATTTTGTATAACTATGGTTATACAGCTAATGGTTTGTCTTTTGGAGGTAATTATCTCCTCGTCCCAGCTCATGTAATCCATCATCCTTTGATACAGTCTGAGGCGACGACACGTATATGATCTTACTTTCTATGCTACTGGAAATGTTGGTCACGATCTTGTTTTTGTGTTGTTATTTTTTACGTATGTAATTGAATATATTCGAGGGTTAACTGTTTTATCCACATGGCTATTTACATAAAGACTCTGGGCAAGGCGTGAGTAGATACCATTCTAGTTTGACGTTTAACTGGTTTCTGAATCTATACAAGCTTGATTCTCATCCTCAAATTACTGTTTAAAATGCCTGATGGAGAGAAATGATAATTAACATTGATGATTGTTATCATAACATTTTTTTTTCATTGCTCATTTTATTGAACCTTTAATGCAAGAAATTCCACTCAAGATAATAAGAATGATATGTTGTAATTTTATAGTTATTATCTCAGGATATTGTAGAATTTACTGTGGTCGAGTGAGGATATCTAATGCTCTTAATTTCTATGGTTGAGTTCTTCACTTCTAAACTTTGAAGAGCAACTAACTGATGTAATTTTATAGTTATTATCTCAGGATATTGTAGAATTTACTGTGGTCGAGTGAGGATATCTAATGCTCTTAATTTCTATGGTTGAGTTCTTCACTTCTAAACTTTGAAGAGCAACTAACTGATGCTCTCTACCTAGTTTTACTGCAAGTACACTAAAAAAAGAAATAAAGAATTGTAAAGTTTTTTAACCGCGGCATAGCGCCTCATAGAATGGCTCTTTGTTTGTTTTTCTTGAAGTACAAACTTTTAGTCCATAGCTCCGTCATCTCTTGACCATTTAAGATATAATTACAGTTTTGGACTCGGGAGGTCAAAACCCTTTCCACTAATGTATTTGACCACGCCCAAGGTCTCATAGATTAATTTACTTTAATCCTGCATAGAATAATTTCAATTTGAGGGTAGGCTAGTAGAGAGCCTAATGAGTAATAAAATCGAATCGGGTATACCCGCGCCCCACGCTTGGTATTGCTGGCGCACAAAAATATAGCTAATAAAAACAAACAAAAAAAGGTCTCATAGGTTAATTTGCTCTAATCTTGCCTAAAGGAATTTCAAGTGCCGCGGCTACTGAGAATTCCCTCTTGTTTTTTTTAATACATGAGAAAGGGGATATTTTAATTTTTGAAGAATATTTAGTTTAGTTGAAAGAACGATGTATTACTTTAAAACTCCAGGGAGTATTTGGTACTTATTACTCTATGTTTCGCTTTACATCTTGTTCAAAGCACAACAGATAACACAAGGGCCGAACTAATCTAGCACCTGTAGTGTTTGGAGGATGTGAACAACCCTGAAGAAGCTGTAAATGAAATACAGGAAATAAAAACAGTTGCTCCCTAGAGTTAGCCCCCCCCCCCCCAGTGGCACAGCAGTATGTCTGCGGACTTACAACGCTAGAAACCGGGTTTCGATATCCGTGGTGGGCAGAGCACAGATAGCCCATTGTGTAGCTTTGTACTTAATTACAAACAAACTCTAGAGCTATAAAGTCGTTGTTATTTCTTTCGTTTAGGCCTTCCATGCTCCAGCCAGAGCTACATAAGTTGGACGTTTTAGTTTACTTTTAAATTCATAAAATCATACTATTCGAAGGTAAAAACTCGAAACTTGTACAGTTTTCGAATTTACCAACGTCAGTAATTTGGCGAACCTTAAACAAACTTTTGACTCAAACTGCTGATAACTTCCAATCTCATAGACGTATAAGTAAAACCAGAATATCGGTTGTATGAATATATATATATATATATATACTGCAACTGTTAAACATTAGTAATAACGGGCCTTATATCTTGTAGTTAAACTGATTATACGTTTCGTTTTTTTACGTCCCGGTGTAACCTTGAGATAGGAAGTTTTCGACAGCTGCTTGGTCTGAGAACCCTCTCGTCTTGACTCACGAAATCTTTATGCCATAGCTTGTGTGGCAGAATGTATTTACAGTGCAGTATCCACCGCAGTTCATGTACACGTACTAAAACGGTAAAATGACCTCCTGCTGT